TCTAGTGGATACCTTTATTTCCTGACTCTCTACTACTTCGTCAGATGGCGACTTGGGATCCGACACTTTGCGATCTATTTTTGAATCAGCTTTGGTTTTACGAATGACCTGAACAAATTATTATAAGTGATGAGAGCGCGTTTGTACTTTTAAGATAAAAGCATTACCTATATTCATTACAAAACAATCTGACGAGATCTTGGGGATCATCTAGAGAAGGAAGCACAAGGTCGCATGCCTCACACCTTAAATAAACGATTACGAGCTGCTTAGATATCATAAAATTCATACCTTGTGTAAGCATTTTGAGCGTTTTTAGCAACTGAAAAGTTGGTACCAACCCAGCGCTTCAAGAGTCGCCAGCGTTTTCAGCGATGACGAAAGTATAGGGATTGATCTAGCGTTTTAAGTGTCCGTCTGCAACGCTCGAAACGCTGCAGAGATACCTATACTTTCGGCGCACTCAAAGCCCAAAAGTCCGAATTTGCTGCACCAGGTGCAACATATGGTCCCCAATCAGGGCACGTTATCGTTGGCGAGAATTTCAATCAAACGATCGATCGACTTACCGAACCTTTCCAGTAATTGCCCCATATAAAACTGACCATCTTACAAAATCTTATTAGTAATTTGTCGTCGAACGTGAGAAAAGGGCGGGGGGACCAGTTTTGGTATTTAAATTTCGGTATTTCTAGTACAACAAATATTATAAATACCGTCGCCGACCTCGGAGTACTATGAAGTGCGCGCGAAAAAGGGATCAACAGAGAAATTTTTCCCATGCCAAGTACGACCCCCAGTGATCATTACGATCCCCACCCCGTTGGGCATCTCTAACGTACTACGTCCCTGTCCGCAGTAGGTTAAGGCGATATACAGACTATAACTTGGTTAAGGTCGCGTTGAAGCTAAAAGCTGCGCCCGTCTTCTAGATAAGCACTGAAATCGAATCCCGCTCAGCTTTCATCTACTAGGGTGGTCTACGGTCTTATATGTAGTTTTGAAGGACAGGATACGCGAAGGATTCTGTGACCCTTATGGGAAATGTGTTATTCAGATTGAAGATACTAATGATGCCGTGATTGTCCCTTTATCATTTTCCATAAGTTTGCACATTTAACAGGGCTGCTCCACAGCCTAGCACGCCGCGTAGGCGGACATGCCCACGGCACATCCTGCCGTTGGGGAAAACTTCGCTCAATTCGACAAAACCACAACCCACCCCCCCCCACTACTCCACTCAAAAATTCCTTCTCTCGTGCAACACACCCCTTTCCGTAACCGCAATCCTACCTACCATCTTCCTGAGTTCCAAACCTTCCTATCACTTGTTCCTAAACTTTCCGAAAACTCTCGTCAAGCCCGAAAGGAGTGGAGTGAAGGTTTAAGCGCACTTTATACACGAAAAACCAGAAACGTCAACAATCAAACTTCCTCTCAACATTCTTTTCAAAAGCAATTACGAATCCGCTTCTTACCTCCGGCGACCACGTACGACAGCCATCACTGGGGATCCCCTATGTGACATGGACATACCACGTCCGACGTCACTTTATGTGGATAGGATAGGGGGGAAGGAGTTGAAGCTTCGAGATCGATGAACCACTTTTCACGAAATGCGAGAACCTCTTTTTGCACTGGAAGATCAATTTTACCCACGCAAGGGTTTCTCACTGCATAACTCAGGCGAGTCCCCATTCCCACCCGCCTCCGACACGAAGAATGAAAGGGAAATAGTACATACATTTTGTCCATTCCTATGACTTCTTCGTTCATTGACGCGTATTTAGTCGTCATTGGACCTGTCCCAGCACATCTCTATTATTGTCCCATAGTTATTCATACTACGAAATTTGAAGACTTTCATACGAAAAACCAACTACCGAATGCTTTAGATTCTATCCCAGCTTTTTAGCGTATAAAATAACGAAGTTTGCTCTTGTATATTTTACGATCCATACCTCATTTGGCAGTTTTCAAGATTAAATAATAGAGGATGTTTTTCTCCAGTGCGAGGAGCATCATAGTGTTTCTTTGCATGAGTAGCACAAGTAAGACAACCACATGAGACACAAATAAATACCTCCGCCTGAAAAATGCGACAAAATTGAATAGAGACACTGAAATAGCGAATTAGGAGGCGTTCACACCTTGGGACACTGAAGTACGAAGAAGCGCGGAAACTGGAAAAAAGGGGGAAATACTATATACGTATCGATTGATCGCCTGTTGTCCAAGTCTTGTGTCTAGTCTCCGGCTTTCCAGACTTTTCGATCAATGGGAAAGGATGGCGGTTTCGCTGCGACCTCCCCAAACGTCTTCCTCCGAAACGCCTCCTTTCTCACAACCTGGTCACACTTCTACCAAACTTCTCCAAAACTTTGTCGACGAGTGTGGAGAAGGGGGGGGATCAAAGTAGATTGCTCGCGAACAACTATCAGAAGTAGTAAGCTTGCTGACCATCACGAGTGGGGAGAAGGGGGGAGGGATCAAAGTAGGTTGCTCGCGAACAACTATCAGAAGTAGTAAACTTGCTGACCAATAAGGTGGGCATATAGCGCGCGCGAAACGGGAAGATAAACAACAACCCATATATTACTCTTTGGAGGGTTTCGCCAGGCGACAATGTAGCTGATATTTCAGACCGGTGTGTATGCTTGCTCTCGGATTCTCCGATTCTTCAGCGTCGCGAAGTATAAACGAGGTATTACACGTGGTGTTATACTTCACAAAACAAACGTTTGGATTCTCCGGCACGGTTCCATTTTTGAGATTCCGTTCACATTCTTCACATGACCGCTTGCATGACTTTAGCTTTTTCCTGACCTTCCTGAAAGAAACAAAAAGTAACTTTTACTTTTCGGATTAACTCAAAAACTGAACTCCGTCGCAACCTTCGTAATCTAAAAGCTGCTCTATTGCTGAAACATAGGGTGCAGCAGTTAGACGAATTACGGCAGTCACAACCCAGCACAAGAGCCTCTATGGTTTGTACACTGTGTCTCCGTTAACTTCTCGGGTTTTCTTTTTTGTTTGACAAAGCAAAGAAACGATTGCAAGCCATGGGAGGAGGGTTTTAGAGTAAGCCCCAGCAGAGAGCACAGGTGGGCATTGACAGCACGCAGCACCACCTCTCAATAGTATACTTGCTCCTGACTTTCCTGCTTGTCCCTCAGATTCGGGACGGCCTGGTCCTGTCCTCAGGTTATCCTGCAGGTTCAGGACCACCAGCTCTCCCTCACCTCCAGCAGGTCCAGAACCTCCAGTGAGGAAATTCAGCTTGAGCCCTAGATGAAAGGTCTACAGGGGGGGGGGAAGAGTGGGCAACCACCGTTCCTTCTCCTGGGCCAAGCCAAAAAGTCTTCCTACTCGTTTATGATAAAAGGAAAATGCCTATAGTGGTTTAAAAATGGTGCACGAAACGCTCCAGTTTGGTGAACAAGAACAAAAAAATGAATCCAGCAAAGAAATAACCACTATCCGCATTACAAATACATTCAGGTTAAACAAATTAGCGCATACCTTGGCCTTGAACAGGCTTTTCTTTGTCCTATGTTCACATGCGGCTAGTACGCTAGAGGTGGCTCCTTCGGCAGTCATTAAGGACCGGCTATAGTACCTACGGTCAAAGCACATTAGTCAGAGATGATACGTAATCACAATTTTATAAATCAACTCGCACTTGACAAGTTAACGATAAGCGCACAGGTCAATATTTCCCATGACGGATTTCTAGCGCTGAAATAGGATGTTTTGCTTTCACATTTACAAGCTACATCAAACATGCCACAAAGTAATAACTAGTCGGCAAAATTTTAAGGGAAATCGAAGCAAAAGGACAATTTAGTAAATGGCGAAACCCCATGAAACCAGGTTTAAATTACCAGCGCTAATTCTTTTTTGTTAACCAATCGATTTGACGTTTCTAGTAGCGAAAATAAAACCGCAAACCAACTTAATAAGCATGTATAACAACAGGTTACCCCCGCCAATCGTTTCAGGAATACTGGCCTTGCGATCAAACTTGAATGAGAATTTTGCTGCGGTTGCGTCGCGCCGTATGATTAGAGCACATAATCTGCATGGATCGAAAAGTTATGAACCCGTGGGCCGTGATAGACATGCTCATTTCATGAATTGTTGGGGATGAATCTCTTTCTCTCTGCCCTTATCATACCGGAAGCTAGAAATGATACGTTATCGCAGACGCTTCTCTACATCGCACTAGAGTAGGTCTCATTTTTAGTCTGTTGTACTCGAGCTGAGGTCGAGTTTGACTCACCCGTAATTCGTGGAAGGTACCTTGGTCTTGTTTTCATCCTGTTTCTTGTGGTGTTACAGCGTTAAAAGAAGCTTTGGTAGGCCTTACAGTGATAAACAGCGCAACATGTGGCACCTTCTGCACGAAAGCTCCATCACCAGCCCAATATTTTAACATTGTATCAAAAAACCTATGAAGAAAATATTTGCTTTTTCCGTAGAGAAACCACTGACGGCTTTGGCAAGAAGCTGTCAGGAGTAGAGTCGTCGCTGACGGCCTCTTGAGCCATTCGGTAAACAAAGGGAAAATTTGCCCACAAGTCGCGAACTCGTAAAGTGAATCTTGGCTTTATCGCCTTGGTGCCCCTGAACGGAGAAATAATAAGTACGAGACTGAACTTCCGTGGACGAGATCAACGTTGGCAGATGGCCAGCCTCCACAGACCGCGCAAAATCAAGCCGCGTTCATACTTTGCGGATCGGTGTCTCGGTGATCTGGCAGACTCGGTGTTTCCGGTGATTGCGTGGCAGAAGAATGGCTGGGTGTCAATTGGCGCCGGTAGCAAGCAATTGCTGAGATTCAGCGATCCAGCGTTTCGAAAGATCGCCGAGTCTCCCGAATCGCCGAGTCGCCGAGTTCCCATCTCTAGCGACCAGTGTCGAGCAGTGCCTACAACTTCCTTTTCGCCCAGACCGCCGATTCTTTCGATATGGCGGATCGGTGCCTATACTCTCCCCTTTACGCGCGTGCTCGCAACGCGGTGATTTTCTTGAGTCGCAAAGTATAAACGCAGCCTAGGTAGGAAAGGTATCGATTGAGTCGCGTACCTACACCAGCGCCTGAATTCCCTCTAGTCACTGACATTCACATGTTGCAGGCACTCGGTATAATAAATTTGCGGTGATTTTTATTCAGATTCGTCGTAATTATGAACAAAATCTACTTGAAGGTTTGTGATTTGAGTAGTTTCAGAGAAGATTTCAAAGCTCTACAGGGCCTTTTTCACATTCAGTTCGCGACTAACACCCCGCGCTACATCTAGGCTTCGAACGAGGAGTTTCATTTCCGCAGTAGTGAATGAAACTATAACTAAGCAAAATATGGCGTGCGAGGATGTTAAGGGCACCGACCTCGCTTACCATATGGGCGGACTTGGGCCTATAACTGTACCTTCCTATCCTGAGTGCCCCTCCTTTTCACAGTCTCGGGAGGGGAAAAAGCTCATCAATAGGGTACGCAGAATAGTGGTACCGATCAGGACGAATCTGGAATGCGCCTGTGGATGACTGTTTTTCTTTTCTATCAATGAGGTCAACTCTGAAACCGATCTGTCAATTCTACTAAGATGCAAGGTAGGAATCGGGCAGTTGGTTTGGTTGCCCTCCCTTACCTCCATATCCCAGAGATAGGCGGATTGTGGCTCATCTGACATGGGATGGGTCATTTTCAAGGGAAGAGGCAGTAAACCATTGTGCTTCTCCCATTTCTGCCTCTCTCTCTCTATCGCGTTAAAGAC